GATGATCTATTTCTGACATTAATTTTATGTACTGAATTAGATTAGGAACATAAGCAAATCTGAGTACAATTTTTAAAATTTCTTGTTGAAAAATGCATGGAAGGCCAATATTTTCCACAGCAAAGGCCATATCTTGGCCAATATTCACCCGATTCTTCCGGAATGTCTTAAACGATTTGTAGCTCGATTCTACACAAATCTGCATTAAAATCTAGAGACGAAATATTTTTTAGATTTTTTGTCCATTTTTCTGGAGCATCCCCTTCAAAATGTTGAAAAATGCATGGAAGGCTAATATGGCCCACAGTGAAGGCCGTATCTTGGCCAATATTCTCCCGATTCTTGATCGGAATGTTTTAATCGATTTGTAGATCGATTCTACACAAATCTGAATCAAAATCTAGGGACGAAATGTTTTTTAGATTTTTTGTCCATTTTTCTGGGGCATCCCCTTCAAAACGTTGAAAAATGCATGGGAGGCTAATATGGCCCACAGTGAAGGGGCCATATCTTGGCAAATATTCTCCCGATTCTTGATCAGAATGTCTTAAACGATTTGTAGATCGATTCTACACAAATCTGTATCATATCTAGGGACAAAATATTTTTTAGATTTTTTGTCCATTTTTCTGGGGCATCCCCTTCAAAATGTTGAAAAATGCATGAAAGGCTAATATGGCCCACAGTGAAGTCCGTATCTTGGCCAATATTCTCCCGATTCTTGATCGGAATGTTTTAAACGATTTGTAGATCGATTCTACACAAATCTGCATCAAAATCTAGGGACAAAATATTTTTTAGTTTTTTTGTCCATTTTTCTGGGGCATCCCCTTCAAAATGTTGAAAAATGCATGGGAGGCTAATATGGCCCACAGTGAAGGGGCCATATCTTGGCTAATATTCTCCCGATTCTTGATCGGAATGTTTTAAACGATTTGTAGATCGATTCTACACAAATCTGCATCAAAATCTAGGGACGAATTATTTTTTAGTTTTTTGTCCATTTTTCTGGGGCATCCCCTTCAAAATGTTGAAAAATGCATGGGAGGCTAATATGGCCCACAGTGAAGGGGCCATATCTTGGCTAATATTCTCCCGATTCTTGATCGGAATGTTTTAAACGATTTGTAGATCGATTCTACACAAATCTGCATCAAAATCTGGGACAAAATATTTTTTAGTTTTTTTGTCCATTTTTCTGGGGCATCCCCTTCAAAATGTTCAAAAATGCATGGGAGGCTAATATGGCCCACAGTGAAGGGGCCATATCTTGGCTAATATTCTCCCGATTCTTGATCGGAATGTTTTAAACGATTTGTAGATCGATTCTACACAAATCTGCATCAAAATCTAGGGACGAAATATTTTTTAGTTTTTTTGTCCATTTTTCTGGGGCATCCCCTTCAAAATGTTGAAAAATGCATGGGAGGCTAATATGGCCCACAGTGAAGGGGCCATATCTTGGCTAATATTCTCCCGATTCTTGGTCGGAATGTTTTAAACGATTTGTAGATCGATTCTACACAAATCTGTATCAAAATCTAGGGACGAAATATTTTTTAGATTTTTTGTCCATTTTTCTGGGGCATCCCCTTCAAAATGTTCAAAAATGCATGGGAGGCTAATATGGCCCACAGTGAAGGGGCCATATCTTGGCTAATATTCTCCCGATTCTTGATCGGAATATTTTAAACGATTTGTAGATCGATTCTACACAAATCTGCATCAAAATCTAGGGACGAAATATTTTTTAGTTTTTTTGTCCATTTTTCTGGGGCATCCCCTTCAAAATGTTGAAAAATGCATGGGAGGCTAATATGGCCCACAGTGAAGGGGCCATATCTTGGCTAATATTCTCCCGATTCTTGATCGGAATGTTTTAAACGATTTGTAGATCGATTCTACACAAATCTGCATCAAAATATAGGGACGAAATAGTTTTTAGATTTTTTGTCCATTTTTCTGGGGCATCCCCTTCAAAATGTTGAAAAATGCATGGGAGGCTAATATGGCCAACAGTGAAGGCCGTATCTTGGCCAATATTCTCCCGATTCTTGATCGGAATGTTTTAAACGATTTGTAGATCGATTCTACACAAATCTGTATCAAAATCTAGGGACGAAATATTTTTTAGATTTTTTGTCCATTTTTCTGGGGCATCCCCTTCAAAATGTTGAAAAATGCATGGGAGGTAATATGGCCCACAGTGAAGGCCGTATCTTGGCTAATATTCTCCCGATTCTTGATCGGAATATTTTAAACGATTTGTAGATCGATTCTACACAAATCTGCATCAAAATCTAGGGACGAAATATTTTTTAGTTTTTTTGTCCATTTTTCTGGGGCATCCCCTTCAAAATGTTCAAAAATGCATGGGAGGCTAATATGGCCCACAGTGAAGTCCGTATCTTGGCCAATATTCTCCCGATTCTTGATCGGAATGTTTTAAACGATTTGTAGATCGATTCTACACAAATCTGCATTAAAATCTAGGGACGAAATATTTTTTAGATTTTTTGTCCATTTTTCTGGGGCATCCCCTTCAAAATGTTGAAAAATGCATGGGAGGCTAATATGGCCCACAGTGAAGGCCGTATCTTGGCTAATATTCTCCCGATTCTTGATCGGAATATTTTAAACGATTTGTAGATCGATTCTACACAAATCTGCATCAAAATCTAGGGACGAAATATTTTTTAGTTTTTTTGTCCATTTTTCTGGGGCATCCCCTTCAAAATGTTCAAAAATGCATGGGATGCTAATATGGCCCACAGTGAAGTCCGTATCTTGGCCAATATTCTCCCGATTCTTGATCGGAATGTTTTAAACGATTTGTAGATCGATTCTACACAAATCTGTATCTAAATCTAGGGACGAAATATTTTTTAGATTTTTTGTCCATTTTTCTGGGCATCCCCTTCAAAATGTTGAAAAATGCATGGGAGGCTAATATGGCCCACAGTGAAGGCCGTATCTTGGCCAATATTCTCCCGATTCAACGAAAACGATTGATTCCCCTCCAATCTTTATCAATATCTATGCAAAATATGTATATATTTGTTTGTTAAATATAAAAAAATTTTAAATATTTTAGTTACAACACAATTGTGATATAATACTACGGTGCGGTTCCTTTAGTATCATTCATCTCCATCACACTTTAAAAGAAGGACAAAAAAGGACCATAACCACAACATAAGAAAAAAAAAAGGACGATAAAAAACTGCAAGCCACAAAAGTAACCACCATCCAAAAACCAACAATACAAAAAATAATTTTGCCCTTCGAGAGAAGACAATGCAACTTAAATTACGTCACGCGGCCACATTTCAGCTCGTGCCGTTTCCCCAGTTTTTTTTGGGCCCAACTCGCACCCCCAGGATATTGCAAAAAATTTACTGTGCGAATTTTTGGGAGCCAACCAACACATGTAGACATTCACACGCACACAGTGAAACAGGATGCCCCTGCGGATATGCAACGCTCAATTTGGAGCTGCCAACCACAATGCCAACCGAAATTGCCAACTTAATTTATGTGCTGCGCTAATTAGCGCCATAATTTAATTTCCAATTGGCAAACGGAAAACAAAAATGGAAAGTAAAGAAAGAAAAGTGGAGGATTATTGGGGGTTGATTGTGGGCTAAAAAAATGAGAACTGGGCTAACAATGCAATGCCTGTTGCTTCCAATCACATGCGTATCTGATTTTGCGGGTAAACAAAATTCGAGTTCATTACTTACTTAAGTGTGTAAGGTTCATGAATTTTATAAGTTATGAAAATAATAAACTTTGTTTAGATTTTTAGATATAGTTTATAGATATACTATAGTATAAATTCAAGAGTATTATTTTATTTTTTAATTTTATTCAAAGTTATTAGACTAGATAAAGTTGAAAATATGTTAAATAGTAACATATGTGTCACATTTTGAAGGTTTTTATTTTAAAGAGTATAGACATCTCAGTTTTAATAGAAAAAATTTACTTTTTTTAACCTTTGTTCCTTTGACTTGCGTTCTGCATGCGAAATGATGGCAAAAAACCCTGTATCCTGCCAAAATAAAATCGAATTAAATGCAGTGCACATATGCTGCCACCCCGTTGTGTGGCCCCGCTTGAACCCCGTCCTCAGCTTCTTCGTCCCAACCCGCCCCGCCGACACACCCCCTAACAAATGATGTTGACCGCCCATGGTCATGGATGCTAATTAATCTTGATTTTGCAACCGAAGTGGGAGCAGAAAGAAGGAGCAGTGGCTAGGGGATATCAAAGTGACAATTAAATTAATCATGATGGCAAACGATTATGTCAACAGGACACACTGACACACACATGGAGGGATACAAGCCTGCCCAGGGGTCCAGAAAAAAAAGCGGATGTCCGACATCCAAAGGGTATAGAAAACGTATTCATGTCGCAGATACTGCAAAATCTAATTATATCCTGGCATCATCAAACTTATAATTAACATTTTGACCGCAACACAAAAATTCGCATGTGCACAAAAAAGAGGCAAGAAAAACGCCAAAAGCAGTTGCTTAGGTCCATGTGCGAGACATTTTTAATTAGTTTTGCGGTTGACACATAAACTTTAGTTTCAATTTAAAATCTCATTCAAGGAAACCGCAAACATTCCTCAACTACCTGTCAAAAATGAAGGGGTTTACGATTTTCTTTCCAAACCACAAATCACATAATATCTATAAAAAAACCTTAGACACATTTTATGGGTCTTATAAAAGTAAATTTCTTCCAAAAATAAAAGTCTTTTGAAAATCAATTTCTTTCCTAGATATATTTTTGTCGCCACATTATAGTGTGTACAGCAACCAAAGTATTATATGTTAAAAAATTCTAAAATTTAAAAATGACAATATTTCTGACTGTTCTCATGGTTTTATTATTTTTATGGTTGTAAAATTTACTTTTGCAATGTAAATATGTACGAATTGGATATTTGAAACAACCCGCCAAATTCAAATAAGGTGGCAACGATAAGCGATTTATATAGCCGGACTGTTGATAGAGTCCATAGTAGTGGCAACGCTTATACTGGAAAAAAATAAGAATCGCACGAGGTGCCGATTATAAACTAAATATTTCGTATAAATTAAATAAAATTAACTTAAATTGTAAAAATGGCTGATGCAGAACACGAGGTCAACGGCACGGAAGTGGAGGATGACGAGCAGGACAGCAACCAAAAGAAGTCTGATGTGAAAAGACACGACGGCGGTGCGGCAGGTAAGAAAATTTGCAAATATTATTTTATATTATTGTTTATGGCTTTAATTAAATATATTTAACCAAAACAGATCTGGAAAGAGTTACGGACTACGCCGAAGAAAAAGAAATATCCGCTGCCAATATTTCCAGCGTAAGTAAACCAAAAAAGCCACTGAACAAAAATACATATAAAAAGTTGTACTATAAATGAATTGCAGGCCGTAGAGCAATTTGGCAACCAGCGTAATAAAGAGAATGAACTGCGAGTGGCCAAGGAGAAGGAGCTCCAAAAAGTCCAGGTCAAAAAGGAGGACATAGAGTTGATAGTAAGTTTCTTGGGCGTATGCTTGGCAGCCATCCTGTCGATCCAAGCAGTTTAAAGTGCCTTTTAATAATCTAGTTTCTATAGCAACCAGAGTTCCATTGATTAATCACATCCTCCTCTCCGTTTCAGATGAACGAGTTGCTGGTCAGCAAGGCGCAAGCCGAGAAAGTGCTGAGGGAACAGAGCGGTGACGTGGTGGCTGCCCTGGAAGCCATCATCAGTAACTAAGATACTCTGGGATCCTGGCGTCTTGGCCGTCAACCGTCGTCTGACTTTTTACGTAGCATAACAACACTGCTTTATTTGTACATTTATAAACTCTAGCGAAGATGAAACCAACAAAAAAATAATTACAAATCCAAAACCAAAGTTTTCTTTATCCAGGATGTGATAATAGTATAATGATAACTTGCAATTTATTTCAAAGTTTTGCCACTGCCCAAGCGCACTCATTTCCTTAAGAAAAACCTTTGACAATTTGACTATCAATATGGGTATTTGTGATCTATATGTATATCCACTTAAAATTTATAGTAATCCGATTTGTAAATGAAAAGAAAAACAATATTCCTTCATCTCAGCCTCCCACTTAAACTTGTAGACATGACTTTTTTTGGCAGTTGCGTTTGCTTCGCTCTCACATATTGCCGATTGCTCTATAATCATTATTATTCATCTATGTAGGTCGATCGAACGATCGTGCTACCAATCGTTAATATTGATAAGTCTCATAGCAGCTCTATGCGATTGGGTTTCGATTTTTTGGGGCGCGGGGGTGAGATAATTAGGTAGTTGAATAGACATATAAATTATAAAACAAAACAGACAAAGTAATTCATTTATAACAACTTAAGCAAAGATTTAAAAGTGGGGGGAGGAAGTTGTTTTCTCGTGTTCCGCAATTAACTAAATTATGTGATTAAATACTTTTGCAGATTCTCGCAAGAGGGTGTATTGATGTTCTGTGCCTTTCTATATAGGTCCCGATCACCAAAGGTACGCGCCTTGGCCAGCATCGAGTCTCCTGCAAACAATAAACTATAATTAGTTTCATTTAAAAGTATTTAGGTCAATGAAACTTACGATAATTCCTTTCACGGGTGCAAGAATGCTTTAGATGATTTACAAAGTCCTCTTCCACAGATTCTTCCAACCGCGCCACCGAGCCCTGATACTCCGAATAGAAGTTATCCTTCACATAATAGGGGATTTTCAGGCCATTGGTCTCACGTTTCACCGAGTATTTGCTAAAGGTTAAAGGTCATGTATATAGAAAGTTAACAAATAGGTTCGTTTAGGCAGTGTAAGCTTACTGTGAAGGCGTCAGGCTGTACATAGGATCTGATATAAAGAATGACGACATCATAGAAAGTCCAATGAGCAGCAAGATGGGTAGCAAGTTGATCAAAGCCGAAGAATTGTTTCCCTAAAGGATAAGAAAAGAAAAATATTAGTTTTATTTTATTACAATTAACAAGGTGCCGAAGAAATGTATTATCCATGAAATTGTTAATTGAAAACATACATCCCGATCCTCCCGAGCCTGGTGCCGACGTCGCTGCTGTCGCATGTAAACATTTTGCTGGGGGAATCCGCCGTTGAAGAACATATTGAAGAGCTCCTCGGCGCTGATATCGGCCTGGAAACCACGTGAATATCCGTATTCGTTATAGTATTGGCCATGTCCATGATGGTTTGCTGCACTGTTTCCACCACTATGCGACTCATTGATGCCATAGAGGTCGTAGTTCTTCCGCTTCTCGGCATCTGTGAGTACGCCAGCAGCATTTCCGAGGGCCTTAAAGGCTTCCACGGAACCGGGTGCCTTGTTCTTATCGGGATGAAGTTGTAGAGCTAGCTTTTTGTAGGCTTTTTTGATCTCAGAGTCTGTGGCTGACTTCGACACACCCAATACCTCATAGTAGTCCTTACACCTGCATAAAAGCAAAGAAAATTCAATTAAGATGTGGATTTGAGCAGCTTTGGTACCCACTTTTTGATCTTTCGCACAGCCTCCAACTGTTCGTTGGTGTAGTCCGGGGCATTGGAGCGCGAATCAGAGTTCACTCGCTTCCTGGGACCGCTGTCCTTCTCATCGTTAGTGGCTGTTGGCCGAGTTCTCCCATTGCTGCCGCTGTTTGGAGTGCTCTTTACCTGTGCCAGTAGCTCTGAACAAGAAGATACCTATTATTATAAAATCCTCATATACTATTGGATGATATCCTTACTTTTTGCATTGTCAGTGGGGTAGAGTCTTTCCGCCTTCAGAAGAAACTTTTCAGCCTTCTCAATCTTACCCTCGGCCAGGGACTGCACCGCAAGGTCTATGCACCTCTGGGCCTCGTCCTTGTTACCTTCCATGGTCTGCTTATTAGCGATTCTTCACCAGTAGTTAATACGTGGTGATCAAAGTAAATAGTCTCCTTCTGTGTGCGTAGACCCGTTGGTGTGTATGTTACAATTTATGGACTACACACGAGCACATATACAGTGCCTGCTGGGATTCTTTTTTCTGGTTATTTGTCACTAGTGTATAGAGTGTCCTGTGGATATTTAGCCTTCCCCCCGCGCATTGGCCAAAAGATTTTATTCACACTATAATTTAATTGATTTTATTTGGTCGACTTTTTCATCATCTGAAAAATTACGAGAGGGCTGCCACTAAGATGAGGGTAGAGTGGCAACCTCTAGGGTTGTCGTTGTATTTGTTGACATATTTTTGAAATCAAATAAGTTTTTTTTTTTTTATTTATCACTAACTTTATGATATATTTCTTAATATATATTATATATATATTCACTAAGATTTTTTTTAAGAAATTATGAAAAGTTTTATTTGAATTCAATTATGATAACAGGTGTAAAACACAAAAAATATTACTTTTTTCTTTCTATTAAAAATTACTTAATTTATTTTGTATTTTTTACATATATAAATTTAAAAATACAATTAAAAATACATAAAGAAACCTGATTTAGCCTTTAATAGCTAAACTGGCAGTCAGAGTTGCATTAAAAGCGTGGCGTTGCCAGATCGTTAGCAGCGCCCACGAACATATGCGTCGGTGTGAGTGTGTGCCGCAGCATGGGAAGCGAGTGATTCGCTGATTCGCCTAATTCCGCATTCGTCGTATTTATTTGGTGATTTTCAAGAAAATAACAAAGGGCTCGTCGCCGAATGAGCGATTAAAAGTTGAATTAGACTCGCGAGTTGCAATAATTAACACCTTGCGGCCCCGAAATCGCCGTCATCGCCGCGTGTGCCAGTGTGTGCGTGCGTGTGTGTGTGTGTGAGTGGCGCAGTTCACACAACTTGGCCTGGAAAAAGTGAAAGAAGCAATAAGGTATTTTTTTCGGCCATACTGTGTTGTCATACCTGGAAAAAGTGCACTTAGCAGCCATATGGAGATTCTATGCAACTGCAAAAGTGTCTCCCGAATGCCCCCGAAAGAGTAAATAGCCCGACTTATGTAAAGCAGAGCAAACCAAGAGAACAATAAAACTATTTACATTTACAAAGGTGCGTACTCTCACTAACCATACAGCATATAGACAACCCATTTCATACAACGAAAATGGACGCGAAAATTTCTTGCGACAGGCCCCAGCAGGCCCCAGAGCGGATTTCTTACGCTCTTTTACGCTCATCGTTCGTTCATCTTACGCTCATTCTCGCATTAAATGTTTTCTGTTTCTCAGTCTCTAAACGGAGCGCGATGAAGAAGGTTGGCCTGCGCTTCGGTTGATCTTTGTGTGTATGCGTGTCACACATTCACATACACGGGTGTATGTGTGCGTGCGATTTCGTTTCGAAGCCAGCGCACAAAATTTTGATTTTTCTTACTTTTCAGGCTTGCTACCCTAACCAAATTCGGGTATTCGTTATTTGATGAAATGACGAAAGAAATTATATTATTTTTTATATTATATTTTTTATTATTTCAGCATACATTTTTAATTTATTTAGGAATAAGATTGAGTGTTAGTAGTAAATGATTACTGTATATATATTTTTACGAATCATTAAAAATGAATATGAGAAAATGAGAAATGAGAAAATTTCAGAGTATATTTCAGTCGGAGTTACTCAAAACGCCTATATCCTTTAAGTTTTTCTTGTTCTGCAAGAGGTATCAGAAAACCAATGTAAATATGTATGTATATATATACAAATATATGTATATCTGTAAAAAATTCGAGCGGCGACTTTTTTAAAGTTCCAAAATATATAAGGAAATTATTAAATTGACGACAATAATTTAATTAAATCTCACAATAACCCAAATTAATAACAAGTGCCTGAAAAATTGTAAACAAAAAGGTAAACAATTCCATCAGCTGTTTTCGTGTCTTCACCCTCCCCTAAAAATCATTCCATCGTTAGAGTAGGCATGCACAAGCCTCTTGCAGAACAACAAAAACTTAAAAGCAATCGGCGTTTTAAGTGACTCCGACTGAAATATACTCTGAAATTTTCTCATTTCTCATTTTCTCATATTCATTTTTAATGATTCGTAAAAATATATATACAGTAATCATGTACTACTAACACTCAATCTTATTCCTAAATAAATTAAAAATGTATGCTGAAATAATAAAAAATATAATATAAAAATAATATAATTTCTTTCGTCATTTCATCAAATAACGAATACCCGAATTTGGTTAGGGTAGCAAGCCTGAAAAGTAAGAAAAATCAAAATTTTGTGCGCTGGCTTCGAAACGAAATCGCACGCACACATACACCCGTGTATGTGAATGTGTGACACGCATACACACAAAGATCAACCGAAGCGCAGGCCAACCTTCTTCATCGCGCTCCGTTTAGAGACTGAGAAACAGAAAACATTTAATGCGAGAATGAGCGTAAGATGAACGAACGATGAGCGTAAAAGAGCGTAAGAAATCCGCTCTGGGGCCTGCTGGGGCCTGTCGCAAGAAATTTTCGCGTCCATTTTCGTTGTATGAAATGGGTTGTCTATATGCTGTATGGTTAGTGGTACTCTGTACTTGTATATGTGTATGTGTGCGTGTGCTTGTTATTCGTTTGTGTGTGTGTGTGTGCGAGAAGTGCATCCAATTGACATTTTTTTTATTTTTCCCCCACTAGCTTGGTGGGGCTACTGCTTGCGGGAGATCCGGACGGGCACGCCCCCCGCGGCCATCAAGGTAACTCCGTGAGGTCCAAACTCTATTTCCCGCTTCTCTGAAGTGATCTCCACGTTGAAGTTGCTCAGCACCTTGGCCAGCGCCAGCTTTACGTTCACCTTTCCCATGCGGGCTCCTAAAAGAATTCAAGAATTTTAGAAAAAGAGGACTCTTCAAGCCAAGTAGGGTATCTCTACCAATGCAGTGACGTGGGCCCTCTCCGAAGGGCATGTAGGCCGCCTGCTTAAAGTCCTTGTTCTCATCCAGATACCTCTCCGGCTGATAGCTGAGCGGATCTGGGAAGTATTCGCCATCGCGGTGCATTCCGATAAGGGAGATCACAATGGGAGTGCCCTTCTGAATCACCAACTTGGAATCGGGGACTGCATAGTCCTCAGTGCAGATTCTGTTTAAAATGGGCAGCGCAGGATACTTGCGAGCGGTCTCTGAAGGATTATATAGATTGAAGTACTATGTATAGTTTAGAATATATCTTAACTACTTACCCAACACACAGGCCTCTAGATACTTCATGTCCTGGATGGCGTCGTAGTTCAGCTTGCCACCATTCCTTTCAATGGCTTCTCTAACGTCCTCCTTGGCCTTCGCCAACGCCTCGGGATTCTGGGAGAGCTCGAACAGTGTGAAGGAAGTAGTGGAAGCTGTAGTCTCGAAACCAGCTGCATAAAACAGCAACAGCTGCCCGGCAATAAGATCCTTGGACATGCTCTTCAATCCCTGCTTGGAGTTCTCCGCCGTCCAGACAGAATCGTCGGTGCTGATCTTTCCTTGGTTTCGCAACTGCAGCAGTAGCTGAAGCATATCCTTTCGAACGATGTTGTTCTTCTCCCTGAGATCGACTGTATGGCTGGAGAGCTCGCGCATGGCCTCAATGGCATCCTGCTTCCAGCCAAGGCGCACGAAGATCTTTTCTAGGCCAGGATATAGAAACGAGGATGTTCCCCGAACAACGTCCGTAAAGGTGTTCCGATTGATCTTCTTGCTGATGCCCAGGAACACGTTGTTGGGATCCGCAAAGCTGTCCACATCAAGTCCGAAAATAGTCGAGGCTATGATATCAACGGCGTAGCTGGAATAATAAATGTTTTACTAATATAATTATAGTAGATTCTTTATCGATTCTTACGTCGCCATCAGCTCTTTCAGTTCCACCTCTTTGCTGCCCGATTGCGGCAGTAGGGTGTTCAAGTGGGCCACCAACTTATCGCCCACAGCGTCGGAGGTCTCGAACATGGCCTTCAACTTGCCGGAGGTGAATGAGGGAGAGAGCTTGGTCCGCATGTTCTTCCAACTCGATCCCTCCAGGGAGAACAGGCCGGCGGAAATCGGATCGTTCTCCTCGTCCACATACACTCCCCGATCGTGGAAGCTGCTGAAGTCCTTCACCAGGACATCGTGCGCCAGCTGGGCATCTCGGATTAGCAAAGCCGGTCGCAGGGTGAGGTACATGCCCACGACAGAACCCTTTGTGGCGTTGTAGAGGTCGTAGATGGCCATTCCAAAGGACCTTTTTCCCTTCGAGACTGACTCCAGCACCCCAAAGGGGATTCTGGCGCCCGCGGAGGGGAATCCCTTGCGCTCCCAGTAGCTGAATGTCCACTTGAGGTAGACGTAGATCAGGGTGACTGCAGCAATCAGTAAATATATTCCAATCATGTTTCCGTGTTCGCTTCTAGCTTGGCAAAACAGAACTGACCGGCCCAAAGCGAGACCCGATTATATATCTCCTACCAATTTCACAACTTGTCAGAGCTATTTGTTCACCACTTTAGTCGATTCCTTGCGATCTACTGGCTCAGTTAGTGGCTATTTTTGCCATTTAGGTTCCTATAAAATAGGTTCCACTACTTAGGATCTTATCAGTGGGCGCGATAATGCCATTTTGATAATGTTGCAGTGATAAGGGGAGATAAGGAGCCCACCTTAAGAGCCACTTGGACAAATAATCGTATAAGCACTAGGTGCTTATTAGATATATAATATAATATAATCCATGAACGAAAACGTATTAAAAAATAAGGTTTAATATTTAAATGTATATATTTTTTACTGGTTAAGTGGTTCTTGGTAAAATACCGTATGTCCATGGCGAGAATCTAACTATAACATCGACGTTTTAAAGTTGGGGAAATAGTTTTAAATGAGGGGAGGTATAAACTAGTAACTTTTTAAAAATTTCAAGACAGTTAATATTGATGTAGATTGGTGAGACATATTCGTTAGATTGGTGTGGTGCCTTCCTCTGAGTCAAATAGATATGGATATTACATTTCTTTATAACATCGTCTACAAAAGGGAAGTGGTTGTTTCTTAAAACTTAATTCATTTCGAATCTGTTAATGTTATATTGAAGGAAACTAGTATAAGTTTAAAGCAATGTCCTATTTTGATTAATACTCTTGTATAGCTCTGAGGTATTATAAAATTCCAATATAAAAAGCTTCGGAATTTTTGTTAATTTAAGCAAAAACTAGTTTTCTAGAGGGTTCTCTCCAGTAACGAACCATTAGTCCTCGTTCCATAGTCAGAACATCTATCATATACATGTAGATGTATATGTAGATCATATAGATAATAATAAAGACTATGAGACTACTATTATAGCTCTGATGGAACAATATAAGTGATTAAAAGCTAAAAATCCTAAGGATTGTGATGAGATCTATGCTCCAATCTTAGAGAGAATAAGAAAAGAAAATAGAGAAACTTTGTAGATACATTAAAGTTGTAGTTTCCGAAAAATAGTATTTTATTTCAGTTACAAAGCAGTTTATATTTCTTTTAATAACAAATTTCTCCCGTTTCAATGGAAGTTATATTACAAAGTGGTCCGATATTATCCCAATAAGACAATAGGCCTATAAAGAGACCTACTGCTTGCGGGAGATCCTGATGGGCACGCCCCCCTCGGCTACCAAGGTAAGTCCGTGGGGACTGAACTCTATTTCCCGCTTCTCCGGACTGATCTCCACATTGAAATGGGTAAGGACCTTGGCCAGCGCCAGCTTAACATTCACCTTACCCATGCGGGCTCCTAAAGTATGATTTTTGATTAAATATATAATAAATTTTAGCTTTAAAGATCCTTCTCACCAATGCACACTCGCGGTCCATCACCGAAAGGCAAGAAGGCGGCCCGATTATAGTCCTGATTTCCATCCAAATATCGTTCGGGCTGGTAGCTTAGAGGGTCGGGGAAGTTCTCGGCATCGCGTTGCATTCCGATGAGGGAGATCACGATGGGAGTGCCCTTCTGAATCACCAACTTGGAATCGGGGACGGGATAGTCCTGGGTGCAGACCCTGTTTAGAATCGGAAGAGCAGGATACTTGCGAGCGGTCTCTAAAGGATTATAAGATATTTTAGATATAGATGGCAGTACTGTATATAGTTTAGAATAGATCCTAAGTTCTTACCTAAAACACAGGCCTCTAGATATTTCATGTCTTGGACGGCGTCGTAGTTCAGCTTGCCACCATTCCTTTCAATGGCTTCTCTAACGTCCTCCTTCGCCTTAGCCATCACCTCGGGATTCTGGGAGAGTTCGAAGAGTGTGAAGGATGCTGTGGCTGATGTGGTCTCGAAACCAGCGCCATAAAACACAAACAGCTGCGCCGCAATGTGATCCTTGGACATGTTCTTCACTCCCTGCTTGGAGTGCTCCGCCGTCCAGACCGAATCGTCGGTGCTGATCTTTCCCTGGTTTCTCAACTGCAGCAGTAGCTGAAGCATATCCTTTCGAACGATGTTGTTCTTCTCCCTGAGATCGATTGTCCGGCTGGAGAGCTCACGCATGGCCTCAGTGGCCTCCTGCTTCCAGCCCAAGCGCACGAAGGCCTTTTCTAGGCCAGGATACAGAAGTAGAGTGGCTCCACGAACCTTGTCGGTGAAGGTGTTGCGGTTGAACTTCTTACTGATGTCCACGAACTCATTGTTGGGATTCGCGAAGCTGTCTACATCCAGGCCGAAAATAGTCGAGGCTATGATGTCAACAGCATACCTAGGAGGACAAATGTTTTGGGGTAACAATCTTGGAAAGATCTTAATGGCTTACGTGGCAAAGAGCTCCTTTATTTCCACCACCTTGCTGCCCGATTGTGGCAGTAGAGTGTTCAAGTGGGCCACCAACTTATCGCCCACTGCGTCGGAGGTCTCGAACATGGCCTTCAACTTGCCGGAGGTGAACGAGGGGGAGAGCTTGGTCCGCAGGGCCCTCCAACTGGCTCCCTCCAGCGAGAACAGGCCGGTCGAGATGGGATCGTTCTCCTCGTCCACATAGACTCCCCGATCGTGGAAGCTGCTGAAGTCCTTCACCAGGACATCGTGCGCCAGCTGAGCATCTCGGATTAGCAAAGCCGGTCGCAGGGTGATGTACATTCCCACTATAGATCCCTTCGTGGAGTTGTACAGATCGCTGATGGCCATGCCGAAGGACCTCTTTCCTTTCGTAACAGAATCCAGGACTCCGAAAGGAATAGTAGCCCCAGCAGAGGGGAATCCCTTGCGGTCCCAGTAGCTGAAGTTCCACTTGAGGTAGACGTAGACGAGTGTCACGGCGGAAACGAGTAACAATATTCCAATCATTTTAGAGGGTTCTTGGCTTCTTGGGTTTCAGGAAAGAATTGACCGGCCTAATGTGGAGTCCCCTTATATACCTTAAGAAATTTCACCACTGGTCGGCTCTATTGGTTCATTGAGCGTCAGAGAGATCTCCAGTTGTAGAAAGTGGGGTCTTATCATACCCCCTTTGTAAGACCTTATCGGTGGGTATGATAACGTCCTTTTGATTAAAATTCACCAACAATAGTTATTAAGAACCGAGATTTAAATTAGTTAGAGGGCACTTAACCCCATATATGGTTACCCATTAGTTCATAAAATCTGAGTATCGGAAAGGATGGCTATAGTAGAGTTTCCCGACTACCTTATACCCGGTACTCATCTCTTCCGCTCTGAATAGAACTGACCTTTCAAGTTTAAACTTTAATAGTATGGTTTCTCAGCAAATCAACAACTTCAGAGCCCTACGGCCATACTACCGATTCCGATTCAGTAGGGAAGGATACCTAAAGTCTATAACTCTTCTAAAAATTATCAAATTTTTCTAGAATTTGGGATGTGGGTGTAGATTAGCCATTGGAATAGTATGGTCTTGAAAAATTTCCCAAAAATATTAAAGAACTGGCGCTACAACGAGATTTGATAAACTTGATCTTCGCGGTTACCATACGAGTCCAAGTTTCAAATCGAATAGGTCAATCTCTTATAGTCTTCAATGCTTTAAAAATTGTAACACGTTAGTATGGGAATTGGTATATATACGGGTATATCTGATATGATCTGGTCTGGTATGAGATGGTCTTATTTGATTCCTACTCTAGGTTACATGCACTAACACCAATACAATGTAACCTTGTACTCTACCTGTGATTTCTACCTATTAGTAAGAATATCTCGCTTCGAAAAAAAAACTGCTTCATTTGAGGGGTGGCTCACTTGTCCCTCGTGTAAAAATAAACAAACCAATAGCTTCCTAAATGGTTATAAAATATGTTTTTGTTTTATGGAGCGACGGTGCCATATAGGGTTTCATTTAAAAGATTCCCTCATAGTGATGTTAATAAAGTTTCAATAAAGCAAAAATAATGATTGAAAAAGTTTTGTTTTTATTTTTTTTTAATAATATTATTTATGTTATTTTCGAGAAAGAACTACGGGTATACCCTCTTTGGCCATCAGGGGAATTCCATGAACACCAATCTCAATTTCTCGCTTTTCCTTACTGACTTCCAGGTTAAAGTTGGTAAGAATCTTGGCTAGGGCCAGCTTGACGTTCACCTTACCCATGCGGGCTCCTAAAAATTAAATTTTTAATTAAAATATATTACATTTTAATTATAAAGATCCTCCTCACCGATGCACACTCGCGGTCCATCACCAAAGGGCATGAAGGCAGCCCGATTATAGTCCTGATTTCCATCCAAATATCGTTCGGGCTGGTAGCTAAGTGGGTCGGGGAAGTATTCTGGATCGCGTTGCATTCCGATAAGGGAGATAACTATGGGAGTGCCCTTCTTAATGACCAACTTGGAATCGGGAACTGGATAATCCTCAGTGCAGATTCGGTTCAGTAGCGGCAGGCCGGGGTACTTGCGAGTGGTCTCTATCAGTTCGTATAATATGATTAGAACTACTTTCAATAGAATGCTTATCTCAACTACTCACCAATCACACAAGCCTCTAGATACTTCATTTCTTGTATAGCGTCGTAGGTCAGCTTGCCGTCATGCTTCTCTATGGCATTCCGGACATCCTCCTGCGCCTTGGCCAGCATCTCGGGATTCTGGGCGAGTTCGTAGAGTGTGAAGGATGTAGTGGCCGCTGTGGTTTCGAAACCGGCCACATAGAAAAGGAACAGCTGGGCGGCTATGAAGTCCTTCGATACGGACTGTGTGCCGTGTTTGGAGCTCTCGGCTGTCCAAACTGTATCGTCGGTACTGATCTTTCCCTGGTTGCGGAGTTGCAGGAGAAGCTGAAGCATATCCCTCCGAACAATGTTGTTCTTTTCCCGCAAATCCACAGTCCGGTGGGTCAATTCGCGCATTCTCTCGGTGGCCTCCTGTTTCCAGCCGATCCGGACGAACAAACTCTCCAATCTAAAGGGGATTTTGAATATATTTTTGAAGATATATTTCTTGGTTAAATTACCCTGGATAGAGAAACAGAGCTGTGCCACGTATGATGTCCGTGACTTTGTTGCGATTCACCTTCTTGCTGATTTGCAGAAATTCATTGTTGGGATCCGTGAAACTGTCCACATCCAGACCGAAAATAGTCGAAGCAATGATATCGACGGCATAACTAAAAGTAAAGTAATAAGAGGAACTAGGTTTAGACCTAGGGATTAAGGTGAAGACTTCTATACTTACGTGGACATTAAGCTCTTCATCTCCACTTTCTGACTACCGGTTTTGGGCAAGAGAGCATCCAAGTGGGCCACCAACTTATCGCCCACATCATTAGATGTCTGAAACATGGCCTTCAGCTTGCCGGAGGTGAACGAGGGGGAGAGCTTAGTCCGCAGGGTCTTCCAACTGGCTCCCTCCAGAGCGAACAAGCTGGCCGACATGGGATCGTTCTTCTCGTCCACATAGACTCCCCGATCGTGGAAGCTGGCAAAGTCCTTCACCAGGACATCATGCGCCAGCTGAGAATCTCGAATCAACAAGGCCGGTCGCAGGGTGAGGTACATTCCCACCACAGGACCCTTTGTAGAGTTGTACAGATCGTAGATGGCCATTCCAAAGGACCTCTTTCCTCTCCGGACAGCATCCAAGACGCCAAAGGGAATGGTGACCCCTGCGGAGGGGAATCCCTTGCGATCCCAATAACTGAATGTCCACTTGAGGTAGACGTAGAGCAGTGACACGGCACTGATAAGCAGAAGAATGGCAATCATTCTGACTCTTCGATGCTTGCTGCTAGCTTGCCGAATCGAAACTGAGAGGTCGGATGCGATGGCAATTTTATAGTCGTAGGAGAGGCACTTACACCATTCGGCTCAACTGATTAGCTCGGGCTACCCTCGTGTTTCTTGATAGCCCGATAGATTCCCTTCAAGTTGCATCTTCAGTGTGACACGGCGAGAATTCCAAGGGAATTTCTGCTGACAAACCATTACCAAACATTTAGTTTGAGGCTCGGTCAGCCTAACTAGCTGATATGGGAAGTTGTTTTGGTGATAAGACTTCCACAACTCATCGGTGCTTGTGATGATTTTTAGAATAAGCCTCTTTCAGGCTATAGTAGACCTTCAAAATAGAACTCATTTGGTCTGCATTTCTGAAATAATTTCACAATTTAAATGAGAACTGAAACGAGACTAAATTGCTAGGAAATATTAGCAAAAAGGGTGTGAAAAGTACTTAGTATTTAAGTAATGATGCACACTTTTTATTTGAACTTGTCTAATCAAACACCTCTGTTATCCTTACAAGCTCACTTTGTAGGCAAAAGGTGATCGTTGTGTTTACGTTTACCTGCAAAATATAGATTCTACCTGCATACATACATATGTACATATGTACTACCTCCAAAGTCTTATGTCATAAGAGAGGTATTTACGTTTTAAATAACTTGATTAATAGTACATTTTTTAGCTAAGGGATTACATTAAGGGGTTACATGCAGTTTCGGAACCAAAAAAAACATAATTCTTACGAAGAGAATATTAATTGACAATTATTAGTTCATTATTAATGACTATTATATTTAAGACATTCATTATTTACTTAAGCAGAAGATACTTTTAAGATGATAATAGAATGTAGATCATGTCAAAATATTTAAAAATATTTATATATACAAAATACTTCGCGTTGATCTCGTTTTTGTCATTTTGAGACATCCAAAATCCAAAAGTTTGATTTAATTTTTATTTTAAAGAATACATAAATGCTGGTAATGAAAGAAAGATTTAAAAACAAAATTCAATTCTCAATCAAGGCAACCAAAAATATATTCCTTTTTTGCTAAAATTTTGTCATTAAATTGTCGAAAAAATATAGTAATAAATTTCTAAGAATAATTTCCTTAGTTCATTACCTGGCGATTATATGTATATCCAAAAAGATTGTGTCAAAATTTCAGACCGATTAGTTTATCCATTTTTGAGAAATCGAGATTACCGACTTCTCTCTGTGACACTCTGACAAATATTATAGATTTTTTTGAAAATCCAAGCTGCAGATTATCCTAATCCTAATCTCTCTGTCTTTAATCTCTAGCAATAATTGGTTAGAATTCCCCCTTAAGTGTGGTATACATAATCTTAAGTTTCTTTGTTTTTATTTTGAATATTTTTCCCAATCTCTGCCTGCTTATCAATAGAAGGTGACTTGGTGGTTTGTTTGGTTTGTTTTCTTGGTGGATAGTTCCACAAAAATAATATTGACTAAGGTCCTGGTTTATAATTGCCTTTCATAGTCATTCCAAGATAATGGTGTCGAGAACTGGCACATCCTGTAACTTCCACCAAACTCTCTTGGGCATTAAAACTTTCCGCTTGTTTCATTCTGACCCGCTTTGTTGACTTTGACGTTTATGGCAGCAGAGCTCCTGATGGTGGCGTAGCGGTTCTCAGGTTGTTCACTCGAGAACTTTGTGCTGTCAAAGTAATTTGTTGTTTTTGTTGCTTTTGTTGTACAGCGAGTGGCAACGACTTTGGCTTTAAGCATGTAAGCAAGAAACAACAACAATATGGGCAATCAAAAAACAAAAAACATCGACATGCGGCGTATAAAGTAAAAAGACGTTGAACCGATTTCTGTTTTTATTTCTTAAGCTTTTTGTTATATATTTATATTTTTTTTTTTGGGTGCATGCAAATAATTTTAAAAATATTTATATATTTTGACAAAAAATGAGTAAGGAAAAGAAAATTCTTATTAAATATATGTAAAAATTATAAATATTAAATAGTCCAGCTAATAGCTTTAATAGAATTCCTTCTACAATTATGGCCACTAAGAAAATTGATTTCCAACTACATAAAGATTAAATATCAATAAACAATTAATTAATCTAATCAAAATTCTCTTCCATTTCCATAGAAACCCCTTGACTCGTCGTCTGGCTTCGGCTCATAAATTACAGGAAGGCACCGTAATAACATAAATAAGGTAAGTTCCTCTTCGGTGAGATCTCGTCGCCAATTAAGTCGGGATTACATACGTTTTCAATTGAACTTGGCCAGGCTCAATTATTAAGTCATTACTTCTTGGGGATTAGCTTCTATTCGCCATCTCTGTTGCTCTCGCACTTGCTAGCTGTTCTGCGATAAGCTGGCTCGCTTGCACCACAAATAGCCTTGATAAGGGCCTTGGAGAGTCGCCATCAAACATCCCGCAGTGAGCTTTTTAACTTTGTTCTGCTCTCAAAAAACGCTGTCTTTCAAGCTTGCTCTCATTTATATCTCTCTTTCTCTCGCTCTGTAGTATTCTCTGCAGAAGGCAGAAGCAAAACAAAAAAATATATATTAAGAAAAAAAAAGCTCTTCATTCGTCAGCTGCTGCGCGTAGCGAGTAGTAGTTGTGTGTGCTTTTTACGGAAAAATTCACATCGTTGCCAACCGATTTTCAACGATTTTACGCCCACAATTCGCAACGGTAAATTCCAAATGCACCTTAAAAAAGTTACCGATAAGAAGAGGCAGTTTTTCGCGTTGTGCGCGTGTGAAATAGTCAACTCTTAGAGCTTGTGACCTTAATCAAAAGTTTTAAACATCCAAAATAAATAGAAATAAGGTTCGAGAACACGCGCAATTAACCCCACTAAGTGTACGATAAAAAAAGAAGAGCTTTAACAACAACAAACTATTAATGAAAGACCAGTCTTAACCACTTCCTCAATCTAACGCCCTTCGAAATGAATTATATATGGAAATAATCTCAACTCGAGCTTGAGAATAAAACCAGAAAAGAAGCTGAAAGCGAGTCAACTTTTTCTATATCTTTGGAATAGAGTCGGCTTTTTTCTTTTTTGTGGCGACCGGCACCTGCTCTCTCTTTCTCTATTACTCCCCGATACAGTGTCGTCGCACTCTCTCTTTCTTTTGGCGTGACGCAAATCACATGTTTTTATAGGGAACTCGGTTCGATTTTGATTAAAATTGTACACAATTAAATATATTTGTTTGTTTAAGATCACAGAGCTTTCGAAAAGTGTTGCCAGATGCTAGGAAAAAAGTTTATAAATTAACCGAAATAGCATTGACATTCTCGCAATGGGCCAAGAGGGGTCGCAGGGGTGCTCCAAATTACACATGTTTCTAGTTTTTTGTACTAGACCAGCCGAAAGCTTTCCTACAGATCAATTAAAAACATGTGCTGCTGCCCTCTGTCCAATATTTTTGTTTATTGTTTATAAATGAGAGAGCGCCTGCCGCCATCTCTTTCGCACTCGGTGTGTACAAGAAGCTGAGGTCAGCGTGCAAACGCCGGCGCAGCTTTTTGACTTTGTTTTGTGCCCTGTCTTTGCGACGAAGCGGAAAAGAGATGGTAATAGAACGCAAAGTAAATTTGAGCTTTTTCTGCGGCGCAGGTTAAAAGCTTATTGTTTTTACTTTGTTTTTGCTTTTTTTTTTCGTTTTCATTTTTTTTTTTTATGTATAAAAGTTGAATCGAGTGATATAGGAAGAACCTTGTATGTTCATGACTATGGAATGGAATTTAGTTTGTAGTTTTTGTTGCCTTGCTTGATGTTTTTTTTTTCTCTATCCATCATTGACTTGCTCTTGCTCTCATATTCGGCGTAGAGTCTTCTTTGGCAGCGAAGATTCTTCTTCTAGTTTTCTACTTGGGCGTCAATGTTGACCTCCAAATAGTTGCTTTTGCTTTTGCACTGATTTTTATTTTGCCGGCCCAACCATCAGCATCTGGGTGGCTACGGAAGCGTTTGCTTTTTGGCTATTCTTTTGTATTTATTGATTTCATTATTTTTGTTTTTTTTTCGATTTTTGGCCGAGGCTGAGTGTTTTTTAATGCCGGGCCGGGCCATGTGCAAAGGCCCCCAGAGAGAGTAAGAGAGAGAGGTGTAGTCAGCAAAAATATGTATATTCGGTCTTTGTTTAATTTAGCTTATCACCAAAATTCTGCTGATAACTTGAATCATTTTTTTTTGATGTTGTTTCAGTATCTTTTGTTGTTGGCTTTATTTTTATTTTGATTTGGCATTGAACATTGTACGCTGGTTTTTTCACCCTTCTTTCTGGTGGTATGGGTGTGTGTTTGTGTGTACGTTTGCCATTTTGATTATTTCGCGTGCAAATATCACGTATACGACGGGTTGTACAGAACTTGGTCATTATATGGTCACACACGTTCGTCTCACAATTGAATGTGATAAAATTTATATGCGATACTTATCCATATATATACTGTTTATTTGCTTCCATGATTAGGGTTGTTTTTAAAGCTCTTAACTAACTTAAAATTTCGTATTCTAATTAAATAGCAGTAATTCAACATGAAAACTATATGATAAATATATATACTCCAAAATTGTGCCAAAAAAAACAGAATAAAATAGTTAAATTAAGCATCTGACATTTAAAGTACAAGTTCAAGTTGGAAAAATTAAAGCAAACGTTTTGATTTTCCATTTGAGTTCCGTGTTTGAAGGAAAGTGTTTGAAGTAAAATCTTTCAAAGTGGATACCCTGGCGCTGCCTCTTGGAGGGCTCTCTCATGTTAGAATGGCTCTAGCTAGGTAAGAATCTATGGAAATTATCACTATAACACAAGAATAACCTTAAAGATCACTTGGGCAATAAATCCTCACCATTGTAGAGGCCTTACTTTAATGTAATTCTTGTAATTCTTTATGTATGTATGCTACAAACTAACCAGATCTTGGCTTTAATATATCTCATTTCCTTATTCAAAAACATAAAAATCACTTTAAATGGCA